AAAAAAAAAGATTCTTGATATGTCTGGCTATAGAGGTATTATGCATTGGCCTTAGTGGGCTCTTTTAAAAAAATATCCATATGCCTATATGTATCTATATATAGCTAGTATTTTGAACTTGATATTATATCCGGAATGTTGTTCCATATAATTAAGAATTCTTTAAAAACATTATTTTAATGTTTCTGAATGCCACATCATTTTATATTTATCATACTTAATTTTGTTGTTGACATTGTCTATTCTTTGAGTTTTAAAGAACAATAAAGATCTGTCTTGAGAGAAGGATAACCAGGATACTCCTTAGAAGTGATAGGGTAAAGGCTTCCTTTGGACATGTTTTGAGGCAGGATCATCCTTGCGGAACATCATGCTTGGTAGAGGGCCATGAAAAAGAGGAAGTCTTACAAGATGCAATGACACAGTAGCTGCAACAGGCCTACACATAAGAACCCCTGTGAGCTGGTGAAGGACTGGGCTGTTTTCAACCTCAGGTTACTAGGAGTCAGAGCAGACTCAACACATCAAACAACAATCTTTGTGTACAAATGCCTTTCTTAGAACTTAGGTAAAACAGAATGCAATTTCTGGTTTACAGAATAGGGTAGATTTAGCATTTGATACTAGTCACCTTACCCTCTAGAAAGGTGCTACTTTACAATAGCACAGGTAATCCTACCCTACTCTTATCAACATTAAAGTATGTTTCCTTGTTTCCAATTAGGTTAAAAAAAACCCAAAAAATCTTCCCTGTTTGTAACCTGAGTTAACTAGTAAGAATCTTTTACATGTTTGTTAATTTTATTTCTATATATTGTTCACACCACGAACCTATTTTTTACTACCATCTGTGTACTTAGGTATTTCTTTTATATATTTTGTAGGAAGTCCTTTCCCTTTTTGGCTTTCCTCTGCTTTTAAGGTTTTATGTGTGTATGGTATTTGACGAGTAAAGAGAATAGAGTGTAGAGTCTTACAGTCAATCCTTTTGGTTGGTTTCCTTGTAGAGAATTAGAGATACTTTACTGTGGGTAGGACGACTCAAATTTTTCACTGCTTCTGTAGTTTCCCATATGGGTAATTTTTATTGCTTTTAGTTTATAAAAAGTAATAAATGGGTGTTCTTTTTATAAAGCATTCACACAATAAAGGATTATATACAACATAGAAAAAGACTCCACTGTCCTATATCCTGCACAAGGTATGGAATGATTTAGTTATAAAACAACATATAACAAATAATTAACATGAGCTAATGAAGCAATGACTACTCTAGGGGGAAGCATATAATCACAAGCAAACTCCTTGTTAGAGATTAACAGTACTTATATAGTTATAACCTGAAAACAACAAATATGGATTTAACAAAAAAATCTAACATGACCATATTGGGAAGATAACAGAGTTTAAGAGGAGTATGAATGATGGAGAAGGGGTGGAATAGATTGACTAATTCTCCTTTATAGTTTCAAAGTCAATTAAAAATACTTAAGGTAACAGAAGATGAGGGTCGCGACTCCCATAAAGATTTACAGTCTTGGAAATCTTAAAAATGGGTCACTGTGAGTTGGAAACAACTAGAGACAATGGGTTTTAGGGTTTGCTAAGGCTATGAATTTATTAAGAGAATATAAGTATATTTTTAAGCAATATTTTTTAGCAGTAAATGTGAATAAAAATCATTGAAGAAGTCATGGGTAATTGCTTCTGGGGAATGAAGGAGCAAAGGATAACCACTGTGTTTGGTGACAAGCCTTCAGAGTTATTTTACTTTACACAAGGGAGCTTCAAAAAGTTAATGAAAAGATAGGCTTTTTAAATGATAATGGAGTTTTTGTAAAAACTTTTGGGTGATTCTTATATTTTATGAGTTTTTACAACTTATCCACATTGAGATAGCACAGAGAAATCAGGATAAAATATCTATTTAAATGCAAAATTCTCTTAAAATTTTTACTAACGTTTAGTAACAATAAACCATTCCATCTTTTCAGTTTTTTAGGAAAGTTTTGTTTTAAACATCTAACTTATTTCCAAAGCACTCATGCAAACCGATCTTATATGAACACAGCCTCTTAAATACATGAGCCTCCCAAATAAATCACTGTAATGTCTACTTTCTTTCTGAGGGAGACTGCAACATTACCAAAATAATATTTCCAAACTTAACAGTTATCAACAAATCTTGATATTTATTAGTCCTGCCAGGGTAAGACAGAAACATGATACTGTAAAGTTATTTTCACTTTC